ATTCCAAGATGAAGATCTGCCATATCTCATCATTTCAATTAGTTTGTCTACTTTCAATCCGTTCTTGAAGTTGTCAGATGGCCCGATCGTTCCTTGTATGTAACGTCAAGTATTGTTTGTGCTCTGTGACCAAGGCTGCGTGATTTATTGCTGTTTCAAATCAACATCTTGAGGTCACTCAGATACATGGCATTTATGCATCCTGACAGAATTTTTTGGATGATAGGGGAAATTGATACAAGGGACCCCTTCCTCTGCATTAAGATACGGTACATTTTGTAAATTCTGGCGATGCTGTTATTTCAGACATATCTTGGAATGCGGGGGTGACACAACATGGATGCTGCTTCCAAGTCCTAATACAAGTGGACGTCGTGCTAGGAAGTGGCGTCCTTTTGGCAGCAGGCGACGACGGCAACAGGGCAGCCATCGTCGCGGAATGAAACGTAACATTCCAACCACACCTGTGAAGCAGTACTTCCGTGCTCGGCATCGTACTGTAGCAGGTGACAGTACGTGTAATAATTTTGCAGTTCCACTGCTACTGCTGTTCTTAAGTTACTTTTCGGTACGCTGGTCAAAATTATTTTGTCCATTTGGAGAAAATTCTGTGAACTACAACTTTGTTTTATGGCAGTGGTAAAATATGTTTTTTTTTTATTGTATCTGCAAACTGAAGGAGTAATTAAATCATTACTAATTTTTATGGCTGATCATATTCTTCTGTGTCCCTCGTTTTGTAAAATGTGGAGGTTCATAACGAATGGAAGAGGAGGAAATATAGAATCCTGTCCTTCCAGTTATCATTTCATTGTGTATTATTTGTGAGCCATTTTAATATATTGGTGGAATGGCCTTGTATTATGGACAGTATGTCATTAAAGTGACCTGTGCATCACATCTTCATTGCTACAGGCGACAGTATCCAGCGCATGTTGGCAAACCTGCCGGCGAAGCGGTCAACACGGCGGGTTATCCAGTTCTCGGAGGATGAGATCAAGACGCGCAGCCAAGGCACAATGCACAGCGTAAGTAGCGTGTTGTTACATGCAGTGTTGTGTATTAAGGTGGTTACCCTGTGTTCACATTGCACTTAGCCGTGTTCTGTTTTCTCTGTTCCACAGAATCGCCTCTTAAGGAAGAGATATAAGGTATTGTGTCCTCGCTTTTCAGTAGACACTTTCCTTGGTGTGTGTTAAAGTTGTGGGCAGGAGGGAAGGGTTCTTGTGTTTTGGTTCACTGCATGCTGTGTATATAGTAAAGGTTGTTTGGTAGCCATGTTAACTATCAACTCAGGTTGTCATGGTAATGAAATTATTCCATGTCCATGATAAGAATTAATCTCTAATTTTTTCTGTTTCTTTCTTGTTGATTTGTAGGAGATTCTTTTCGAAATTGTTTCGCGGATTTTTGAAATCTGGGAATATATGTAACTTGGTTTTATATTTTGACCACACTGTAATTATTTATAGCCACCATTTGTTGAAGATTTCCTTGAAGAAACAGATTGTGATTTCATGTTGTGTCAGTGTTTAAATTAAAATTAAATTAAATCCGTGGCGTAACAGCTCCAGAGAGCCAAAGCCGACTAACTTGACTGCTGGCCTCACGTTCACATGCCTAAGCAGAGGTGAACGATCATCCAACCAGATATAGGGTGACGTGTGGTCAGCAGGACGAACCCCCAGCCCTTTCTAGCTTTCCTGACCGGATTACGCTACTCATTGTAGCTCCCCAATTTCCTCACGATGCTGGGTTGGCACCGGTCCCATACACCGGTCGAAAGCTCGTGAGAAAATTTCTTCTCCCCCGAGACTCGAACCAGCGCGCATTCCGTATCTCCGGTCCGAAGCACGATGCCTCAGACCACGCAACTACGGCTCAGGACTGTGTCAGTGTTTAGTCGCTTCAAATATGCAATTCCTTGGATTATGAATGAATGTGATAATGTCGCAGAAACTAGCTCATTGGTGGAGACAGCAGAGTGAAAGGATTAAAAGCCTGACATGCATAAAAGTACTTTTTCCAGATGACTTCATCAGAACTGATTTCGTATGACTTTTGTTAACTTTGTTACTGTCATTTCATTACCATATAAAGTCTGTTGATAAAGTATAGGTATACTTGTAACTGTATCAGACGCACGTTTTCAAATGTTTCACATTTCAGATCATCGGAACATGCATTTGGTACAAGGGTTGAGGGGGAGATGGCTTGTATTGAGCATTGGGCCTCTTGGTGATATGAAAACGAGCAGGATTCCCCAAATACATTTTTGCAGCAGACTGATAGTTTGGTGTTATAAAATTTTCAGTAAATTAATTAAGGGGTCTGCAGTGGCCGCGCGGTCTGAGGCGTGGGCCTCGTGCCGCCTGGTCGCAGGGACCGTGGGTTCGCATCCCCGAATCCCACTCAAGCCATGGATGTTTCTCTGTGTTGTGTTGTCCTGTGTACAGGTAGAGGCCTTGCGACGGGCCGATCCCTCGTCCAAGGAGTCCTACCGAATGTCTATAAATCGAGCCAACGAAAAGTTTAAATATTTCCCATATATTTTCTGTTGGTATTTATTAGATGTATATATGATTGATATTATCGTGACATGTTTTTACATGATTTCAGGATAAAGTGCATGAATTATATGTTCAATTTTAATCTGCATTTCAACTTTTCAATTGAGATCGTGTAATGCCATTACATGTACAAATGTAGAAAATTGAAGTGTTCGCTGATTTTGGCTTCCAAACAGATGAGGCACTGTAGAGATAGATGAATTTATTTCTCGCTATTCGACCGTATATTATGTTCTCCTGATTTGGAAATGCTAAGATTCTGACGGTTGATGTAAGTGAAATCGAAACCGACAAGCCTGCTCCTATATATTTGCTTTTGGGATACTTAAAAATAAATGTGAATAGTGATGGAAAATTAAAGTTGCAACTTCTCTCCAGTATCTGTTTAGGACTTTCCACTTAAAAGTAAATAAATCTTTTCACAAACAAAAATCAATTTAAAGGCTGGCGTGTACAGGGATATCCAGGGAACTATTAACATTTACGCTGTTTACCCATTCACCGGCTTGTTATTAGTACTGCCGAAATGCAGTCCCTCTTATCTTTGAAACGGATTGTCCGTAAATGGACAGTTTTCATTTGTAGCTGTAAAGGGAATTCTTTGCAAACACATACTTGATATCTCTTCTGATTTAGGCTGTTTTTGGCCCATTCTCCTGCTTTCCCAATTAATAAAGTATTCTCCAAATTGAAGATATCCGTCTTCTGGGTTATTGCGCTGTGTAGTCTGGTCGATGTTAACCAACGTTTCAGAGGTCATACTGCCTCCATCATCAGGGCGATGAGTGTGAAGATTTCTGTCTTCTGGGTTGTTGCGCTGTGTAGTCTGGTCGATGTTCAGAGGTCATACTGCCTCCGTCATCAGGGCGATATTCATTGGTTAACATCGACCAGACTACACAGCGCAATAACCCAGAAGACGGATATCTTCATACTCACCGCTGTGAGAACCTCAAGTCTTATATTCTCCAAATTATTTGTAAAATTATTCTAATTATGCTTTGCTCTCTTTTTGTTATTTATTAAATGTACAGCTCAGATCTGTTCTCTAAACTCAGTAGTTGTTTCTAGTACAGTGATTGGTGCAATGCAGTTCCTATATACGAGTTGTACTTTGGGTAATTACGTCCGTAGAATTGCTAGTCACATTTCTTTCAGAATTAGTGTCTGAGAGGTTAGTCAGATTCTGTTAAAATGCTGTAGGTAGTTGTGTCTATGTAAGTGTTTAGTGTTCTGGATTAATGTCATTTTGCTATTCGCTGTGGTTGTTTATCATTTGCACTTGTCCAAACTGCATAATTTTCTGTGTCCATATCAAAACCACTGTCTGCTTGTAATTTCTTGTTTAATTCAATGTTGGTATGCCATTTTAGTTTTGATATTTCAGCTCAAACATGCTCTCTGGGTGGGGAATATGAGAAGTAGAACCCACGCATAATGAATTCTCCTGGGTCGACCAGCCGCGTGAGGTCGTTTATTGAAGAAAACGCCAACATTTTGAGAACATCTTCATCCTTATCCTCAGGGTACTGTTCCTGAGGACGAGGATGAAGTTGGATCTCAAAAGATTGGTATTTTCTTCAATAAACGACCTCACGCGGCTGGTCGACCCAGAAGAATTCATTATACTTGGTTGCCGTGAAAGCTCCAGATCGTAGTTAAGTGTCTGAGGAGCATATCTTATGTGGTCAGTGTGAATTAAAAGTATGGAATTGGATGCTTTGCTGCCACTAACAAATAATAAGGCCAAAACTTCTTTTCCTCGGTAGCGTAAGTTGAGCCAGATATTAAATTTTCAAACAGCTCGAAATTCGGCCGGTTTTACGGTATTATCTCAACATTTGCCGGGAAGAACTAAGGAAAGTTATTTATAAACCGAAAACAATTTGGAAGGAAGTAGTAGCGGCCTATTTTAAAACCCCATCCCAGACCTCCTGAATACGAGCCAGGGGTCCTAACCATTTAGCCGTGTCATTCAGTGGGTCGGGCATAGTTCTTCAAACATACGTTACGAAACATTGAAGTAAATGTGGCTTGAACTTCAGGAGGAAGTTTATGCAATTGTGCTATTTGCAATTTTTCATGGATGTTAATTAACGAGGCACAGACCTTCCTCACCGTGTTTCATGCTTTTGGTTCAGAGACGACATCTGATTTTGGCTGTTTTTGGGTGTTGGAACAAGGCATGTCATTCTGGGTGAACGTATGCATGCTGCAGTGCCTGCCACTCAACAAGTGATTTGTAATTACATATTAAAAAATGAGGATTGTGTTTTAGTCCTAAAATCAAGCCAAAAATTTCCTGTTAACATATGGTCATGTCTGTTTTGTTAGCAAGATATGGCAACATTGCACAGAAATGAGACATCAATTTACAATAAATTTTTGGGCAGGAGTAACTGGCACTCTTTATAGGACCTTAGGAGCTGCGGTCTCAAATTTTAGTACTGCATGTGTACATTTTAATGAATGAATACATCATCTGCTGGAGGTTATGTCATTGGCGATATGACGGAATATGTGGTTTATGCATGATGGATCTCCACATTTTACCCACAACATAAAGTTATTTTTGGACTGGCTACCCAATTGGACAGATAGGGTCTGTGTATATGTTATATGTGATGCGTAGTAAATAAGAGAATCAGATTCTTAATCACTGGTAATACTAAAGTTCATCATTGCTACATGATCCTGAATCTATTCCATTTGCATTTTCCCACATCCTGCTTCCCTAAAATCAATTTTAACGACACTAACTCCTTGGGAAGTTGATAATACGCTCAGCTCGTCTAGAAGTTACCTGTCTGTTGTGGAACTCAGAAGTTATCATGATTACAAGACCCTGCTACTGGTTCATGTCATGATTACAAGATGAATTTGGTCCACACCCGATTTCCCTTAGATCCTTGTTAATTTTATTATCCCATCTATGCCAAGGTCTTATGTATGACCTCTTCCTTCCAGGCTATCAAGCCAAAAAAATTTTGCACATTTCTGTCTTACCTAGATGCACTACATGAACCACACATCTCATCCTCCTTGATTGTATTTAGTAAAGATTATATAGTTTGTTTATTTGCAGACTCTTGTCGCTTCGTCGCTCTTGGTTCCAAATATTCTCCTTAGCATGCTCTTGGGTCCAAATATTCTCCTTAGCACTCTGTCCCATATCACCATGTTCAAATCTTCATTTCAGACTTCAGTATTTTTGGCCTGTGTAATTGCATAAGCTGTTATTTGGAATTAAATTAAATTAAATCCGTGGCGTAACAGCTCCAGAGAGCCAAAGCCGACTAGCTGGCTGCTGGCCTCACGTTCACATGCCTAAGCAGAGGTGAACGATCATCCAACCAGATGCAGGGTGATGTGTGGTCAGCACGACGAACCCCCAGCCATTGCTAGCTTTCCTGACCGGATTACGCTACTCATTGTAGCTCCCCAATTTCCTCACGATGCTGGGTTGGCACCGGTCCCATACACTGGTCGAAAGCTCGTGAGAAAATTTCTTCTCCCCCGAGACTTGTATAAAAGTGTTGAAAGGGTCCTACATCACCATATTGATGATTTTAGTCGATTTTAGTTTGATTTTGAAAGGCACAAATATTTATTTGTAACTTCGTATTTGTTTCAGTCATAAATCAGAGTGGTCTGTTAGTATTGAAAGGAAAATTATATAAAATATAAAATGTGTTTACACCATTGGACGACCCTCATTAATAGTGTTCAGTGGAATTGATTGTCCAGCAATGACAATCAGTGTTATTCACACGGAAGGAGTGAGAAGTCTGCTTAGTGAAAATGCCTGAAATCCTTACCAAACATTATTTTCATTCTTCAGAATTATTACATATTCCTGATATGAAAACGACATCAGTCATTCAAAGACTTCATATCTTTGAGATGCCATAGTGAGAAACTGCATTATCTTCAAGATAATACTGAACTACAGGGTGTTGAGTGTTACCTTCTTCATTAGTAGAATTTATTAACCCACACCCTCAGTTCTATTAGGAAATTTCATTAAAAAACAAGCAGAGATGACTGACCATGTTTACCGTATGTATGCTTTATGTTCTTGGTAAGAATTGTAACTACTAATCATCGAGTAAGCACGTTCAGTATTTTGGTGTTCTGTCCAGGTGTCATTTGCATCTGGCGTCCTGCGGACATCCCAGAAGACTGGTCACAGAGTGGTTCAGAGCATGCAGGTCAAGGTAACCGCTGCAGATTCAAGTGATTCGGCATCTAAGAAGTTGACTGTTCGCACCCCAAAGAAACTGCCAGCAGCTCCATTTGTCACATCCTCTGTTACATCAGAGCAGTCTTATGTTCCCAAACAGCAGCTCACAGTCAAGAAACAGCCTCGGTCGAAGTCACAGCCAGTCGCGTCAGTACCACAGTCAAAGTCTACAGGTAGTGATGTGCAGAAAAAGGCCAGCAGAGGGGGCAGGTCTTTGTCACCTGCTACAAGTAAATCTGAGCCAGTTCCTTTGAATGGGTCTGAAGACACTAAACAGCCGTCTGTTCATAAGTGTAGGGGTCGCAGTAAGAAGAAGCAGAATTTGCCTTCGGTTTGTGGTGAACTAACAGAGCCAACAAAGAAGAATGATGGACCAGACATAGGCATGCAAGAATTTGATATAGACTTTGGCACTGGCGGCAGCACCGAGACTTCCAACATCCTCGCTGCCATGCGCATCGCCATGTTAGAAGGTGTCATCACCGAGACACCGCCGTCGGTTGCTGCCAGCACGAAGAAAGTTAGAAAAAAGTCTGCGAAGAAGCATCCTTGCACAGAGGAGAATGAGACGGTATCGCCCGGCAAGCGAAAGAAACTGGTCTCCGGCCAGAAAACTCTAATGAAGAGGAAGACAAAGCTGAGTCAGTCAGAACTTGAGGAGCGCTTCCTTCGCAACAAGGGCTACACTCACCCAGATGAGATCACAGACGAACCCATCATCTGCAAGGGTTGCGGCTTGCAGTTTGATAATGGTTCGGCAGAGCTACGCCATCGCAAGACTTGCATTTATGTGCCTCCTGAGGAGGATGTTGGTTCTAATGAAGTGGAGCGTTCGCACCCGTGTTCACATTGCCGTGCGCAGTTCCCCTCTGCCTCCACGCTGCTAAAGCATACACAGCAATGCAAAGCTGCAGTTAAAGGTAACGCTGAGGCCACTGGTGAACCATCCACAAGCCCCAAGAAAACAGCTGCTAAAGCAAAAACAAGGAATGTGGATAATAATCAGGTTAGCACAGCCACGTCCGGTAAAGAAGAGGATTATTTGGGGCCAAAGAGAAGCCTCGCTAACGTCGGAAACAGCAGTGAAAACGGAAGTACAAAGGTAAAACCTGGTGTAACAGAGTCTAAGAAACAAATTACCAAAAGGAGTGCCAGTAATAGCAGAATTATAAAAAGAAAGAAATTTGATCTCGCAAACAGTACTGATGATAATCTTGATGCAACAAAGAAATGGCTCACTGGTGCAGAAAACATACGCAGTTGCACAACAAAAAGAAAGGTAAAGAGCGAGAAAATTTTCAGGACTAGTCCAGTTGCAGCAAAGAAGAAACCTGATATTGTTGAAAATACCCATAGCAATCCAGTTGAAGCAAACAAGAGACTTGATAATACGAGAAATTTAAGTAACAGTCCGATTAAAACAAAAAAGAAACAAAATGGTACGGAAAATGACAGAAACAGTGCAGTTGGCAAAAAAAAGAAACCCTGTAGCTCAGAAGATGTCAGTAACGGCGCAGTAGTATTGAACGGGAGTGTCAGTGGGACGCAAAGTGCCAACGGCAGTCCACGGAAAACAAAAAAAAAGAAACACAATGGCACAGAAATTGGTAGTGGAAATCCATTAAGAACAAAAACCAAACTTGATGCCTCTAATAGACCAGTCAGTAAAAATAAGAAACTTGTTGAATTAGAAAGTTCCAGTGATAGTCCGGCTGGAATCGGAATATTGGAAGGTGTGAACGGTACTTGCACTGGAGCAAAGAAACAAATCAGAAATACTGAATTAGGCAGTGGTCCAGTTGTGTCAAGAAAGAAACAAGGTAACGTCAGAAGAAGTGTCAGTAGCAGTCCGGTCGGATCAAAGAAGAAACTTGGCAGCTCCAGAAACTACAGCCTAGTTGAATCAAATAGAAAGTTTGAAAGCACATCGAATGTAAGTGGCGGCGTAGTTGAGACAGGCCAACAGCGTCCCATCACGCAAAGCGACGGCGTTTGCCCAGATGGGAAAGAACCGCTAAATCACTCTGAAAGTGAAATAGAAATGAAGAGGGTGGAATGTGATGGTATTGAAAATGGCGCAGAATCTGTCATTAATAATCCAGCAAAGAGAAAGAAGAGACTGAGCATCGGTGGATCTGGAGGTGGAGGTCCAGTCACAACAAACAGCAGATTGGAAAACGGTGAGCCAGCAAACATTATTTTGACTGGGACAAAGAAGAAATCTGGCGACATTGACGTTCTGAAAGGAGCAAAGACGAAATCTCGCCGTTGTGATAGTATGAGCGATGTTGTAAGCGAAAGAAAAGATAAATGTTCCAGCACTGGAAAGGGGACTTGTAGACCTCCCAACGGTGATGTAGACGACAAAATGCCAGAACTGCAGAAAGAGGAGCCTATCGAGAACTTGAAGACAGAAACTCCAAGTCCCAAAGTAGAAGATTTGTGTGACATTCCAATACTCTCCCCCGTGGGATTTGAGCCGCTCGGAGTAGGTTGCGAGGAGAAGAAGAGCGATGCTGACCATGGTGAAATGCTGAGAAAGAACACAGCGAAGAAAGAGCAGTCATTATTGGTTCAAGGCAAGAAACAGGCTAAGGTCACAGTGAAGAAAGGTACTGGATTAAAACAGGTTACGAAGACGGTCGAAATAAGAAAACCATCACCGCTCATTGAGAAGAAGGATGCTGTATTTGAGATTCCCCAAATTCCATTGCAGATTCATCCTAGTAAAGAGGAAATTTTAGTGGCAGTAGTTGAAGCAGGCGGTCTGTCTTCGGAAGGTGAGGTGGATTGTGACGATAAACCCTTGGCTGAATGTTTGGGTGTCTCTGTCACCTCTGATAAAGATGAGGCTGAGAAAGACTTATGGGAACAGGATGTCAAGAAGGCTGCATCACTGTCAAAGCAGCAGAAACGGAAGCGTGCTCAGCACAAGAACGCTATCCTATTGTGGGAAGGGCGGTACAAGGAAGAAGCCGCCGAAGCGTCGACCCAGCCGACCGAAGAAGACTCCAATGATGACTTGCTGCCGATTTCAAAGCTGAAGGAAGTCATTCAGAAGAAGACTTTGCCAACTGAAGAAATATATTCTAACGTTTGTGGAGTTGTTGATGAAAATTGTTTGATTGGGCAGATGAATTCAAGGGTTATTGAAGGATCATTGGTTGAAAGAAATCCTCTCACAGTCACAGGAGCTTGTGAAGTCTTTGAGTCTGAAAATGTGGCTCAGCATAATATAGAGGAGCCCCTTGAGATTCCAGATCATGTTGCGACATTTAGGAGATCGGCAGTGAAGAAAGGGAAAAGAGGTAGGACTCAGTCACGGGCCCACCAGAAAGTCGGCCTCCCAGGTGGCTATCCGGAAGCAGCCTCAGTCTCCGGAGTCCACGCTGGTATTCAGCCAGAAGCTGGAAATATAGTGATTTATAAAGGAAAAACAAGAAATTACTCTGAGCAAGTGGAATCTCAGGACAGTACTCGTGTGGAAAATTCAGTGTATCTTATCGGTCATGAAGGAGATATTAAGAAAAAACTAAAAAGACAGTTTGATGAAATGGAATCTAGAGATGATGGGAGCACGGACTCGACTGTTATGCAGGAGGAAACGAGAAACTGTTTGTTTGGAGGAAACCAAGAAACAAATTCTTCAGTTGTTAATGAAAAGATCGTGACTCCTCTTCATCTGTATGAAGAGACAAGTTCTACAGTGGGCAGAAAACTGATGGTTACGAAGAGAAAGAAATTTGGACCCCGTTTTGAATCGGCTGCATCTCCTCTTGACCCGGTGAACAACGCTGTTACTTGTGTTGGAAGGGATAAAAGAACGGACCATTTGGTTGATGATGAACATGGAATAAAAATTTTAGATGTTGGTGAAAGACGTAAAGAGATGCAAAGAGAGAGAAGAAGCTCTGTAGTTGGAAAGAAGTCGGGGGTCACTAAGACAAAATCGAAAAGACAGCTGGATGAACGCAGTTCTCAGTGTAAGGGCAATGCTGTCCAGACTCGCTGTGAAATGCAGGAGGAAGAAACTGGCGAGTTGATTGGTGAGAGGGTGGCGGGGAGTGATAGAGCAAACTCTGTAGTTGGTAGGAAGTTAATAGCTGCTAAGAGAAGATCAAAACACAATTCTGAAAACAGATATGACAGTGGAGAGGTTGTAGACTCTACTGTAGACCAAGGGAAATATTTAAGACCTATTAGTGGAAAGGAGGCAGAAAGAAACAGGTTAGGCATTGGCGAACAGCAAGATGGACTTGCACTTTTGTGTGAGGAGGAAGAAACCGAGCGGCATGCAAAAGAACCGGTTGTGGAGGCTGTTTCAAGCTGTGAGGAAATCAAAGTAGGAAGGAGAAGAGAGGTTAGGAATTTGACTGGTAAGAAGATGAAAGCAAATCGTCTCGTCGACGTCGCAAAAGAAACACTCCAGAAAGACGTGAAGAAAGCAAACTCTCTGACAAATAAGACAGAGGAAACAAGGCAAAAGATAAAGATTATAATTGGCAAGAGAAGGAAGAGATGTTTGACAATTGTTGGAGATCAGGCGTGCAGATTGATAAGTGAGGAAGAAGATAAACCGGCAACATATTCTGTGAAGGAAGATGTAAGTCTTGGATATGTTGGAAAAGGAGATCAGGTGAAGGCAGTTGAGATCAGTGCGAAGGACGAGCTAAGTGTTTCGATTTCTGAGGAAGATGACACAGTTACGTCAGTTGCAGATACAGACGGTACAATTAATTTAAACTGTGAGGCAGAAAATATGAACGTATTGACTTGTACTGCAGAAGAAACAACAAATACTTTAGTTAGTGTCGCAGAAAAAACAGCGAAGCGCCTGAACACTGAGACGGGGGAGACGGGTACTTCTGTTTGTTGGAAAGAAGAAACAGTCAGCTCACTTGATGGGGAAGAAGTCATTGAAGATAAATTTCGTGAGAAAGAATTAAGTAATCTCGATATAAATACAAGTCAACCGGCTGTTGAGAATGAAGTAGGATTGTTCATGCATGTGAAAAGAAAAGATGTAGAAAATATGGAGACAGGGAATGTTGATGATTGGGAAGAATGTGCAGAAAGAATGACTGATGAACAGCAGGAGATGAATAGCGAGATTTTGGGCTCAGACATTGCAGCTGGTGAAAAAGGTGCTGTACCTGCTAAGAATGAAAACACAGACTCTCCTATTCATCATGAAAATTACTTGAATCCTATAATTATTCAGCAAGGTGACATGAATAATCAGATTGTACAGCTGGACTTGTCGTCTTCGGCCGTCAACATTGTGAGCGGTACGAAGGCAGAAGAATCACAAGTGAATGTGGAAAGACCTTTGCGACAGGCCCGTCGCACACGTTGCAATACTTCATACGAGGAACTGTACACGTGGTCCGATGTTACTAGTGAGACAGAAGACAGTAGCCAAGATCTGCCAGATGCCAGTGTCATGACTGCGTTGTGTCAAGATACTGACGCGCCAACTTACGAGCAAATAGCGGCCATGATAGTAAATGGCGAACACTTCTTCCCGTCCAGCAGTAAGAAGAAGAAAAAGAAGAAACTGCGAAACAATAGCAAGCAGTATAGGAATGGGCATCTCAGGAGGAAGCGGCGTAAGAAGCAGAAGTTGCGGACCAGACTGATGAAGAACAAGAGATCAGCGGTGAATGATTTCATAGTCACAGACATTGAGACCGGGCAGGAAGAATCTCAGGATAGTTGTGAGTCCATTGAGCTGCCAGAAATCTGTAAGACAGCACATCGGCCTATGGATACAGAAACAGACATAAAAGCTATCAGGAGGAAAAAGAAAAAGAAGAGGATGAAGTCGTTAGTAAAACTAGAAAGTGAGGGTCCGGAGAATGCACGGGTTTGTAACAGTGACAGATCAAGGCAGAAGCGAAAGAGCAGTGTAGGATCCATATTTTTCTGCACATTATGCAACAAGCACTACTCCACTAATTACAACTTGATGAAACACAAACTGTCGCTCATGCACAAGCGGATGTCTGAGAGGTATCAGCCGTCTATCCCGACAGATGTGCAAAAAACAGACTGCGAACAGTGGCATTCGTATGCTCTTCAGAATACAACACCTAAAGACACTTCTCAGCTTGTCGGTCAGATTATTCGAACCGAACAGCCCAATTTTGCGACTCAGCGTGTGGAAACTGAACAGCCTAGTTCTGAGAATCAAAAAACAGAAACTGAACCGTGTAACTCTGATCGCCAAAGCGTGAAAAATAGACAAGACCCTGAGTCTGTCAGTTTGAAAAATAGACAAGACCCTGAGTCTGTACTTCATAGCGTGGAAATAGAACAGGCATATTCATCTGTTCACAACACACAGTTTGATGAATCTTGCTCATCTTTGGTGGAAAGTGTGGAATCTGAACATCCTTTTTCTTCTGCGGTTCAAAATCTGGAAACTGAACGTTCTTGTGTCGTTTTAAATGAAAATACGGAGTGCGAAGAACAGTGCTCTGCGGTTCAGAATGTAGAAGGTGAAGAGGGTTACACTGCGGAACCTGAACGGACATACACTTTGATGCAAAATATGGATGTTGAACAGTTTTCGTCTGCGTGCACGCAGAGCACGAGTTCGCAAGAGACGGAAGCCGATGAATCTTGCGCATCTGCGGAGAAACCTACGTCGGAGACAGATAATGAACACATCTTAGATACTGAAAATGCAGTACAGAATTCAGCACTAGATGGGGCCCAGCAGGGAACAGACCCAACTCAGATATCATCAAATGCAGGAGCTAGAAATGACGTTGCAGCAACAGGGCTGTCTGGCATTGCCACTGTCTGGACAGAGCATCAAGCAAATGTAACGTCTGAATGGCTGAAAAAAGGAAGGGGCTTACAGCAGAGTATGAATTCAGCCAATTGGCCAGCATCAGGTGAGGGGCAGAAGCAGGCTGGTTGGTTCGAAGGTCTGGTGGATAACAGCGAGTGGGTGTACACAGCAGGTCAGTGGTCACAAGAAATGACTTGGAGTAGAGAAGTGAACCCAGACATGAACTGGAATGCAGACTCCAGTCAGGACGACGGCACCTTCTTCCAGTCCAATTCTGCAAGTCTGGGCTCTATACTGGACTCTGTTAACCAGGTAAGCATGTTGCATGACGCTGTGCTGGAATTGTAATCAGAAGGACTGGTTACTTTTGGTTTAACCTTTTAACACCTTGTCATGTTTACCTTTGGACCATTTGGCAATTATCACTTTTCCCCCTCTCTATTTCCATTCACCATTTATAATTTCATAACTATCGCATTCTCTCTCAGCCTCCAGTTTCTTCAAATATTGTGGATTTGCAATGTTCGTGGGGTCCGCATTGGCCGCGCGGTCTGAGGCGTGGGCCTTGTGCCGCTTGGTCGCTGGGACCGTGGGTTCGAATCCCACTCAAGCCATGGATGTTTGTCCGCGTTTTTCTGTGTTGTGCTGTCCTGTGTACAGGTAGAGGCCTTGCGACGGGCCGATCCCTCGTCCAAGGAGTCTTACCGAATGTCCATAGGTCAAGCCAACGAAACGTTGGGACCCGCAGTGCTCAGGGATTTGAAGAACGGGTCTTCCAAGTATCCAGCAATGTTCATTAATTGACTCTCTCCTTCCATTGCCTTCATAGTCATCCATGATAACAATTTCCACCAAAATTCAGTATTCTTTTCTTATTTCCTTTATCCTAGCTACGTGCCCAGCACATAATCTTGATTTTACAAGCGTAACAATACTAGGTGGGGCCTATAGATCGAAAAGCTCTCGTGTTCTTCAGTATCCTAATTGTTTTCAGATATGTGTAATTTACATTCTTTCCGCAAAGTAGGGGGTGGCATTTTATAAACCTCCAAAACAAATGGAATATTTATTGAGTGATATATCAGATTCTCATGGCAGTAAGAATGAACATGGCTGTCTTCTGGATTGTTGTGCCATTTAGTCTGGAAGAAGTTTCTTTCTGGCCCATATCACACATTCACTTCAGATTCTTTTCGTTACAGATTCTGGACAACGAGCGTTCTGCTGATGGATTGGAAACTACTAACAGATATCCGCCATATGTTGACCTGCTACAGTCTGGGACCGCGGAAGTGAACCCGAACGGTGGACTGAGGGAACTGCAGCAGGCCATGGGTGCCACAGATGAGGAGATGGCAATGCTAGAGCAACTTGGAGAAGGCAGCTGGCCTCTGGAAGATGCTGACATTATGGACCTGGACAACCAAAAGTCTGCCACTGCTACATCCACTGTTGCCTCTGCCTCCACTGCTAGTACCCCTACTGACGCGGTGTCCAGTAGAGCCGCAAAGCTTGTCGAGGACACGGTAGGAGAGGGGGACAGGAGGGAAGAGGATGGCGGTGCAGTATCTTCAGTTGCAGTGGTACTGTGCTGCATTCAATATTGTCAGCTCTGAAGTCTCATACTTGTATTTTCCAAACTTTAAAAATTACAAACCACATAGATAAAGGAACCAAGGGTGATCTTTAAAGATGTACATTCACGATACATCTGCTGATATTTGTCACTGAGCTGCAGTATGATTTGTAGGGTGTACGTGCATGTAATCGTAGTTTGATGTGTTCATTTTGCGTGCGCAGGCACAGGCAGCTGTGACAACCCGCGCAGTCTCCGGCCGCAGCGGTTTACGAACTCAGGATATGCAGCTAGCTCGGTATGAGAGCAAAGACATGGTGTGTCCTGTGTGTAGCCGTAGGTTCCTGGGGCTTACCGCTCTGAGAGATCACCTCGCAGCAGCTCACAACAGTTCCACTCGCCACCGCACCCAAGCAGTCATCAGTATGTGTCACTTCTGTTACCTGCAAAACCTTCCGAACTCTCCATATCTGGCCTGAACTACTGTGGGTTTCCTTCAGCTATGCTTAAAAATTGTTGTCATTGAGTTTCCAGTGGTGACGAGTTGCCGACTAACAATCAGACCTTTTATGATTATTTTTGTACTTTTTTTAACTGTGGGAAAGTTTGCATCCTCTTTTTGTGTTGAAAATGCATGCTTCCTGTATTTCCGCAAAAGGATGTTTTGAATTAATAGCTAGATTTATTGTTTAGTGTTCTTTTGAGGTGATCATGCCCCCACCCCCCACACACACACACTTCTTGTTTTATTTTTCTGGAAACAAAAAAATATGGAGGATGGCATAGGTGGGACACATAACATATATATATATATATATACATGTGGCATTTAGTTTGAAAGTGTATCATGTTTTGGCAATGTACTTGATTGTCGGTCACATGGCAAAACCTTGTCCGCTTACTTTCCAGCGCTTTGTGTGTTATTAACTGATGGTACCTGCACCTTGTCGTGGTGGTGGGGCTTGACCCCAAGAGCTACTGGTAGGGCCTCCCTAGCCAGATTGGTCGGCTCTTCATTCCCAGGCCTCCTCCTTGGTTTCTGTCTGTCTACCTCTACTGCATGTTGTTGTTGCATTGTGAATAAGGTCACATGAGCGTTAAGTTTTAGCGTAACTGGTTATTTGTAATGTAGCTGCTGGTCACGAAGGTGGTACATATGACAAACTCTTTGTAATGATCCCTTTCTGCCATATGCAGTTTTTCTGTGTTCCAGTATGCAGTGCAGAGACACCCATGCAATTTGAGGTTTTTGCAGTGGTGAAGATGTCAATGTTGGTCTTCTGGGTAGTCAGCCCTGAAGATAGAGACAGTATGTTTCTCCAAAATGTTGGTATCTACCTACAAGTCCACGTGGCGTTACAACCCAGAACACCAACATCATCATGGACACTCAGCTGTTAACAAAAGAGCATAGAATTGAATTCCACTGGTTTTCGTATTTGTTATTGAGAGTCACGTCTGCCCTAATCACAAGTTATGTTCACAGATCTTGACTGTAACCCGGCTTTAAACCAGTCTGTAAAAATTTAGTATCTTAAACTCCTGGTTTAGTATCACGAAGTTGCTGAATATGAAGCAATAATTCTAACATTTTATGTAACTCCGCAAGTCATTGTGGTAATCGCAAAGTTTATCACACATGGTTTTTCTTGAAAAGTTGATAACTACTGTTATGGAATCATGAGTTTCATTACAGTGTTAACAAAATCTGCATCCTGTTCTAAGCAGTTTTGTTCAAGTCCACGCCGTATTTTTCTAACATGTTAATATTATCTTCCCATCTTTGCCGTGGTCTCAAAGTACCTCTCCCTTGTGGTTTTCCAGCTGGAATGTTTGTATTTCTTTGTTTCCTTCATGCATGTTGTATGCCGTGCCCATCTCATGATCCTTGATTTTTTTCCGCCTTAATAATGTTAGGTGATATCACAAATTATTAAACTCCCTGCACGATTTTCTCTAACGTCCTCATTCCCGGTTTTGGGATTTAATATTCTCTTCTACATTTTGCTCTCAGAAACTTTTGTTATGTGTCTTTGTAATGCTCTTAGCTATTTCTGAATAGCTTCAGTAAAGATGTTTAACACCTTCCACTGTTTTATTTTGTTATCGGAAACCGTTGTTGAATGTAAGTCTTGGTCTCAAATAGACGGCCTATAGAATGTTTATATGTTACAAATCATTTAGTGCATACACTGTGAGTGTTGAGATTTCTCTTATTAATTTGAAAGAAAATACTCCGAAAAGTAAAGATTTGCACTATGTTTTTACAGCTGACTGTAAAAAATTAAAATTTGGGCATAATTTTCCTGAATGCTGTTTTACATGTGCTGTCAGTTTGGTTTTATGTTCACTAAAGAGAATGTGTTTGTTTTCTTCCACTTTAAAGTATAATAATTTTTTGTTTTCAAGGAAGATGCCATCTTTTTTGTCCCTGTAACATTGTCCTGGCCCACGACTGAAAAATTTGAACTTGTAAATGCACATCTCGTGTAGTTTTTGATGACAGTATTCAGGCTTTATCTCATGTCCCCCTCCCCCCACCTGTTTATTTTCATATCTGCCCACAGATCATCTTTTAAGCTTGTTGTGTTTATTTACGGCATTTATTTTCCGCGTTGGTTCTTACCAGGTGTGATTCTTATGCTTAAAAGTTCTTTCTCCTTTATCATTACAATGGGAATCATACTTCCCACTTTGAATTTGCCCATAAGGTTTTTGTGGGAAAAATACATTATATTGTGTATTATGCTGAGAATTTGTGGTTTAAATTCCCATATTATGAGCCTCCAGCTGGACTGCACGTAGGCTGTATTTTTTGGACAAGAAAGTTTGGATAATAAAAAAAATTGTTCTTGAAAGGGTTATTTATCTCTGTTGGTTACCCCGATTTTGAAGAGATGCTGCGTTCTTTTCTCGGTCCCTGATATGATGTTTGACATTATAGGGCGTTCCTTTGTACACTAGATTTTCTGCCGTGCTTGTCCTGTCCACAGATTGGAAGTTGTCGATGCAGTTGTGTATTATGCTTTTGTTTCTGTGTAATGTTACCTTTCCCTCGAGTTGTGCAGCACAAGAGTCGCTCATTTTGTCATATCAGTGCTTGCTCACAGTTGTTTTGGCACATGTAGTAGTGGCGGGTGGATGCGTAAAATTACTTCATCGTCTCTCAATCTGTGAACATTCAGTACAGAAATTTTATGCTGTTGTGTCTTTCAGAACGACCGCGTATTGTTCCTAGCTCGGCATCCGAGGAAAGCGGAGAACCGAAACGACACGTCTGCCTCGTATGTAAGGAACTTCTGCCCGATGAGCAGGGACTTGCAGATCATGTCGGAGTAGCTCATGTAGAACGTCAGAACCTTGCAGGCAAGCTGCCAGATCAGCGTCCTGATGGGTGAGTGACGGTACATATCCTAAACCAGGGTGGTCCAACTTTTTTTTTTTCCTCGCTCTGGCCAGAACAGTTTTTCAGTTGGACCCAAGGGCCAAGAAACCTGTATTGTCACTATTTTTGCATTATCGTTATCTTTAATAATACTTATTCAGAAATTACAAATTATCATTTCGTACGCTGAGATATAAATTTTATTTAAATGTGTACAAACTATTATAGAGTTTTATATTATTTTAAATTTGCTCCTGCAACAGCTTGTATCTCTCACAATTTTTACCTGGAAAAGTTATGAACCCTCAGGTTCGGTAAGCCATCTAGTTAGTTAGTTAGTTAGTTAGTATGTAGCAGGATAAACTGGTACTTAGTTGCAGTGTATGTTGGTAAGCAAAATGAGCGTAGAAGGACTGTTGAATTGTCAGGACATGCAGTCAGTTAACGGAGATGAAGAAATTGTCATATAGAGGGAAGATGGAAAGATGTAACGTGAAGACAGGTGGCAGAATTAGCGTGGAGCTCTAACCCTGCAGACACCAGAAATATTTTAAAGCCAGTACGTGGATCTCATTCTTGAAGACGAGAATGTGTTACGATTTAGCGTTTTCTTGTACATACACTTCATATAGGTATCAGAAAGATTGTATTGTGTAAGAAAGATATTTCTCGAGTATGGGATTAGCATAGCCATTACATTTCAGGTTGGGTGGCAGTAATCACAGTACTGGTGGTAGTGGCGGTGGTGATGAGGGACTGCGCAGTCATATGACATCAGCACTTGGGGGCCTACTGACAAGGGCCCTTAACAACTTTCTGGGCAAGAATCGGTCGCAACCTTCTCCCCCTGCTACTCAGGTGCCAAGGTATGAATATGTGCCTCAAGAACCTGCAGGTTTGTTGACCTGGTAACTCAGTTCTTTATTTTGTACAGTGCGGTGTTTGTTTATTCATTTGTGATTTGTTTAACAATGCTGTTAGTAGCTCGGACTCCTCCTTCCGCGGCGCGACGGCCAGAACTCGAGCCCTGGCCTCCTCCCATGTGGGAGGTTTCTTTGTGTTTTGAAGTGTGTATTTATGATTGACGAGTCCACTGCCTCTGCACAATTTCTACTCAATCCTAATTTGTCTGCTAGAGCCATCTAGTAGTAAATCAGGAGAGACTTTGGTGAGAAATGGCCACTGAATTTTGCTTACAAAACACCTCTTTCATGCTGGTAAGGTTCTTTTACACGCCGTAAATCGATGACATGGGGCCGCCGGCTTTACTTCCCCTCCGAAGGAAGTTGTGCTACGGATTTTTATCACCATTAAAAATCCATCAACCTCCGCCGGGTTTGAACCTGCGAACCTTAGGTCCAGCAGCGAGCGCGCTAACCACTAGTCCACCGAGGGCGACAATAGCTCGGACTACATAGTATCAGATGATAGGATGATGACTGAATAATGACTTGGAAAGAAGTGGTCATGGCCTAATTTAAGGTACTACGCTGAGAAAAACATGATAAACGTCATGATTTGAACCCAAGACCTCCTGAATATGAAGCAGAGGTGTAGCTATTTGGCCACAGTGTTTGATATTGGGGGTCCGCAGTGGCCGCGTGGACCTTGTGCCGCTTGGTCGCTGGGACCGTGGGTTCGAATCCCACTCAAGCCATGGATGTTGTGTCGTGCTGTCCTGTGTACAGGTAGAGGCCTTGCGACGGGCCGATCCCTCGTCCAAGGAGTCCTACCAAACGTCTATAGATCAAAACCAACGAAAAGTCGGGACCCGCAGTGCTCAGGCACTTGAAGAACGTGTCGTTCCCAGTATCCAGTTTGATATTAAGTTTGTTGTGGTGTATCTGTTGGGAAGAGAAAGTGTTTTTACCATGGAAAAAGAAATCATTCCCAATCCAGGTAATTGATTTATAGTTGGTATTGTTATGCTAGTGAAGTGAGTTGTACTAAATCGGTGTTATATTCCGTCACTGGGATCTAACCACGCCAGCGTGGCAAATCAAGTACATTATATACAGATGGAAGTAGTGAGCCAGAAACATAGTGATTCTAAATCTTGTTGGAGAGGTGGGTAATCTGCTTTCATTTGTGGTTATTCATTCACTGTAGTTTTCTGCCGTCATTGGCTCTGTTATCAGAGGTGTTACAGCATCTCAGCTCATTTCATTGTCCATTTAATGGAGATATAAAAATGATTGTTTTTTTCATATTTACTATAGCATCCTGTACTTTCAACTGACTGCAGATTAGAAACCATTCTTTGGAAACAAAAGTCCTTCCCGCTATTTGCTGTGCCCCGATAATTCCCACCAACATTCTGCCCAGTGTTCACAGCATACCCGCAAGCCCACCCTCATTTGAACCATAATTTGCTGTGCTTCCGTGTGTGAGAATAAACTTGTAGACTTGCAAGGAACTTGGTTGATGGACGTGGTGTACCAAGATGTGAAAGCTGGCTGGTTCTAAATGCCGTGATCGGAATACACTGGTCTTCCATTACAAAACAGCTGATCATATTTTTGTTTTTGCTTTTCAAAATGTTGAAATCTTGTACCTCTTTTCCTTGACCACGTGCTCACCACAAGTTGAATACCGGCCTTTCTTCCAACCTGCCTCTCAGATCCATCGTATCCCATTTGCCACTCGTTGCCTTCCTTAATAAGCCTTCCAGAAGGTTCCGAACCAACACATATTTACCCTTCGGTGTTTGCTGAAGCATCAGATAACTTGCAGCATGTGATGTGGCTCATTCTGAAAATCTGAAGTTTCACGTTGGGCTCCGGCTGTGAAGACCGACGGACCACAAAGTCACCTCATTTTATATACCATTTTCCATTAAGGAATTTATGATGCCAGTTTCCCATTGATTTTTCCTCTCTGAAATGAAGTTCTTATGACAAACCCTACTCATTCTATTTCAGTTACACTGTAATTAAATTTCGGACATTTATCCAAAATGATACTGCACAGGCTGTCCACCCAGTCAAATTCATTGACTCTGTCACAGCAGTACGTGAAACTTAAACGCTGCTAACATGAACCTATGGTGCTATTATCAAAGAGATTGTCCTACCAAAATTCTGCATATATTTCTTATCTCGCCCATCTAAATTATATGTCTGTACCATCTTATTCTCCTATACTTCAGCACCACAACGGACCCTCCTGCGTCTTAATTTGGGAGTTTTGAGCTCCAAACCTCAGCCCACATAACTGCCAACCACAAATTGCCTTCAGTTCTTTAGTACATGGAATATAATTTGTTGCCTTCAGTTCACAAAGTTTTCTTTGTATCTGCCAGCCCTTCTGTTGGATCTCCTGTTGAAAGTCTTGGCCGTCCATTGCTTACACAGCCTGTAGCGCGATTACTGGGTCGTGGGCTCAAGATGGCAAATCGGCGTCACAGCAGCGGATCTGCCGGCGAGCAGCCCTTCAACTGTGTCGACTGTGATGAGAGGTGGGTCGGTAACGAGACGAATTCTGTGCATTGATGCTCGAATGTGCAATAGTTCATATTTGTAACATAGATTTTATAAAACATAAATAGAATCTGCCTATCTGAAAATCCGCAACAGTAATTTAATTTTAACGTATAATTTTAATTTGGATTTGAGGTTCTTATGGCGGTGAGTACATAGATGGCAGTCAAATGTGAATACGTTACCGTGTCGGAAGAAAACGTTCACAGAAATCACATTGGTGACAACAGGAAACCTTTTTTTATAAATCTTGTATTGTCTAATACTTTGTAGACTGTGTTTATTCTCAGATAAATACCGGAATTTTTATTTTCTCCCGAGATTATTTGTAATACTGTAAGATCTAGGAAGTCTGTAAATGCTTGAGCAAAGCAACATATATGCTATTATATTTCCTCTGTTTTGTGAGGTTAAGCGTGTGTATTTCATTAATCAAAACAAAGGACAAGAGTGAGTTCATGAACATTTTAATGTGGTAACCTAACCTAACCTTCAGTTCCAAAGTTTCAGAATGTTTCTACGTGCAATACAGTTTAAATTGTTCCAGGTAATGATGTGTATCACAAATATATTTAGTTCCTGGAAGCAGATAATTGATTTGAAACATTAACAAACTGCTAATGATTACTAGGGAGCCACTGTTTTCCATTAGTCATTTGAAGGAAAAATGTCAGAACGAGGACAGATATTTTTGTTTCTTTTATTCTAAGATTCATAATAATGGTTTAGATCAGACTGGATTTGTCTGAACATCAGGCTTGTGTTTCTATCAGAGTACAGGATGTCTTTTCAAACATCCACCCAGGCATGGCTGGTTAATATCCTTAGATCTGGCCGGACCTCGTTCCCACCTTTAAATCTGCGATGTCTGTCGAAACATTGGTCAATACCAAACATTTGGTTGCCGCTCAAAACCCTGTTCTGTTGTTCTGAAGTGGACTGGTTCAGTCTTTTTGGTGATTCTATTTTCTTTGTGGATGATTCCATAAGTGCGTTTAAACTGAAGATTTCTCCCATTTCTAAGTTACGTTGTTTGAGGTTAATATTCACAATAAATATCAAATATACCTAAGAGAATGGACACTGCTGTACGTAATTGTAGTGTAATCCTTTTAATCCATTTGTTTTTGAACAACCTCGGGCAAACGCCGTGGGAATGAAAAAGGAAAATTAGGTAGGCCTCACTCATGGATCTTAATGTTGTGAAATATTTCGCAGGTTCACCAGCGAGAGCAACAGGAACCGTCACGTAGCCAGAGCTCACCGCGGACAGCAGTATCGTCGGTTGAGCACTGACAGCCCTCTGGAGCGCACCAGGACATCCTCCCCCCTCACAAGCAATGAGAGCGCAGCATCAGAAGTTGACACCGACAGTCTGCCCCTGAGCATCAGAATTTCGAATTTTTGTTCCGAGCAGAGTTTAGTGGACAGTGAACCTTGTAAGTCGCAGACTGCCGGCTTCGCGGATAGTGAGACGTCGGGAGAGACGAAAGATCGTTCAGTTGTGAAGTGCATTTCAAGTTGGAAAGGTGAAGGGAGCGGTACGGCTGCTGTGCAGGAGGCAGACGGCACAGGGAGAACCGCTTGCAACAGCGCAGAAGAAGAACAACTAGAGAGAGCAACAGCGGCAGTCGCGAGGTCTGCAGATGTAGGAAGAAGGCAGGAGCAAGAGAAGTTGTCCGAATCTTCCAGGACCGACTGGAGAAATGGCGCAAAAGTAAAGTCCTCCCAACCGAGGTCGGAGAGTTTGTGCGGTGCGAATGATGAGGATTCTATTAAAGCAAAGGCTGTAGCAGCATTGAGGGCTCTGAATGCGCGGGACAGGAGGATACGTAATGGCCTTCCGGGAACTATTGGAGCAGCAATGTGGAGTGGAGTATCTCGTAAAAAGTCCAGAGGACTCGACTCTGATGTTAGATTTCGTTTCCCATCGGTCCGGAAGACTCCTCTGTCCACAAATCGATATGCTTCTTTGGAAGAGAAGAAGAAAAAGACTGTGTCGAATATGGTTAAGTGTGAGACCATGAGTCAACCCAATGGCGGTACCGAAGAAAATAGGCAGCAGACACCACCATCCTTGCCACTGGATGTTGCCGTTTCAAGGTCGTATGACATATATGAGTTCCATGATGAGGCGGAACAGGTTCGGCCTCCGTCGGAGTTTGGATTGGCAGAGTTTAGGTTGAGGGCACCTCTTGGGAAGTTTGTGACTGACACAGGACCTAGCAGTGATGTGGAAGAGAGCAAGGTAGCGGAATGGGACAGTCTTCTGAAAGACACTCAGCCAGTGTTAGGGCATGAAGGAGTATCCTCGCCTGCTGTTCTGGAGGATCTGGAAAACACTGAACAGGAGGTTTTCAAGCCACTGAGGCTGTCGGAAGAAACCCCAAAACCAAAATTCAGTCATTCAAGTAGAAAGCACCATAGCAGTAAGAAGAAACGGTGGCATCGAATCATCGTGGACAGTGAAGAGGACACCTCCGACACGGATACAGTGGCGGAGCGACATGAAACTCGTAGGGTAGCCCTCGATCAAAGACTCAATAACCACAGGGAGAGGGAGAAATGTATCGATTTAGAGCAGCGCTATGAAGAGGGCAGAGGCGTCAAGAGGCACCACGTACCGTGTTTATCGGGTGTCCTGGTAGAAGACCGACAGTGCGGAAAGCGAGGAAAGACGGCAAGGAAACCATCTAAGGGCAGTTCAAAGCGAGCGACAAAGACGGACCTTCTGATGTCCGTATTTGCCAAATCACGCCAGCGTAACAATTGTATTAACTCGGTCGCTGCCGGGCGCTCGGTCCCTGCTAAATCTCAACTTTGCGGTACTTTCTCGGGTCCGTACAGGAGCGCGGGGACTACGGGCAGTGTAGCCGGAACTGTGAATAAGTCCGATTCGGGCTGTTCAGCGACGTCCGCCCCAGCAAGACGCTTTGCAACGAGCAGTGATGACGAAAGGGTGGCGAGCGGAACAAAGTCTGAGTCGAAAAAACCGAAGAGGGGCCAAGAAAAAATGACAGCTCTTTGATGTTGTCTGAGGTACGTAGTCGTTCATAGTTACAGCAAATTGTTCACATCTGGGTACATTTGATCTGCTTCTTAAAAGTATTTAATTGATCGCAATTTGTAACGCTATTTAAGAGTGTTGATGTGTGTTATGGAGCCTACACGTACTGCCACTGTCACGTATCGCTGTCCATCCTCACGATGTCGTTACCGCATCTGGATCGCTCGTTCATATACTCACTCATTCATCAGCTTAATTTCCCAAGTTGTTGATGTTGTATCGGACTAGTCATCATCGCAGTGTTACCAAGTGCCGTGACGATGGCGATGTTACGTTCGTGTGCCGCTGCGTACTGCCAGGATGTGCCTTGTGAGTTTTACTTTTTTTTTTGTATATCGTAGTCGCGTTCGGTGAGTAGATCGTCGCCACGTTACTTCCGTACCAGTCGGCACGCCCTTTCAAGACTGCTTCATCCATTAGTTTCATAATTTTTATTCCTATTTGCGTTATTAAAAGATTTAAGGTGCATTATAATATTCAGAAGTCTATATAGTTAAGTCATAAATAAATGAGGATTATTATAATTATGTATAAACTAATATAGGATTTTGTGAGTTTATGTGAATCAGCTTCACGGGATTATGCGTGTATTTTTCAATCTTGATTATAAAGGCAGAGAAATATTTAGAAGTAGTTGGTTTTTATATTTGTAGTCCATAAAATTATCCATTCCTCAGCCATTTAGAGAGTGCCGTGGCTCCAAACCTGTTCTTGCCCGTTCCCGCACCTTTTGGAATATTTCGTTCTGAGCCGCGGAAGGCATTTCGTACACTTGTTCGATTTGTAGATTTTGTATTTAAGCAGTATCTCATTTTATATTTGCATTTTTCCGTGGTGAGTTTGGGTATTTCTTACAGATTTTTTCCTTAAGCATTGTCGGGGAAATGTCTGAGAAATCGACGTTCTTCCGTCTCCTGCTGTGTTTCAGAGTTTGAGTGTACGTTGTAATGGCGTTTACCTTTGAAAATACAAAATGTAATGGAGGTAGAAGGTGCCCCTGAATGATTTGCATCAAGTAAACTTTGTGTATTTTTAGTCTTAAGTTGGTGACCAAAAACTTGTAAATCTCAAACCCAGCACAAGGTTAGTTCTTCAGTTTGTCTTCTGTGAAGTAATCAGAAAAATTACAATCAAGTGTTACGATGTTTGTTTTGAATTTAAAATACTCGCTTTTCATTCGTAATGTGTATTTTGATGTAGGCCTTGTGACTGGTAAAGCCAAGTGGACTTATATGGCGCCCGCGAAGGCTTTTTTTTGGGTGCCCTCATTGTTACGGACAGAGGTTATACTGAATAATGAAGGCTGTTCAACCATGAACATTATAAAATCAAAGCGCAGATCTCGACTTACTGATGCCCATCTTGACGATTGTTTGCGAGCGACAACATCATCCTACACTCCCAAATTTGAAAAACTGGCCGATGAAATGCAGCGCCAAACATCACACTAACTTCCCACTTGAGTAATAATAATTGTACTTATAAAATCTCAAATGTGCCCGTAGGCACAAAAAGGTTGGGGACCACTGCTCTGTTGCTTTCAACTTCAACCCTAAAGGTGAAGGCAGTGTGTTCCTCTGAAATGTTGGTATCGGCCCACAAGACCACGTGGCATTACCCAGAAGACCTTCATCAACATGTTCACTGTTGTGGCGACTCATCCATATTTGAAACCATCAAGCGGTCTTAACCGCGATCCAGATGTTTTGAAGAAATCTTTTAAGACCATGTTTTAAGATGACGAAGGTTTCCAAAACAAAAATTGCCTCTTACGACAAAAAAATTACCCTACGAAGCTGTTAACCAAAATAACAGATTTTATCATTTTTCTGCTTCGTGTAAACCACGAAATGGCGGTAGAAAGTTGCTTAGAAATGTCTAATATCCCGATGGAAGGGCCTCGATGCCCGTGACATTTCCACGTGCCACAGGACTTTATACCATTTTCCACGGTTACCAGTTGTCGGTGTGAATAGGGGAATGAAGCCCATATTGCCTCTTACCCCTTCTGCGGTTAAAGTCGTCAAGTTTTTCGGCACCGTGTTCTTCATAACCTCACTATTTTTGAATACTTGCTGAACCCTGTATTGTGATACGGCAGTTATATCCATTTCACTGGCATATGCAGTCCGCGACTGTAATCTTGAAGCTTGTGGGGTGACGGAGGAAGGAGGAAAGATAGCGCCTGCCTTTAACGCTACAGACTTTTCTTTGAAGTTTTGAAATCTCTTCTCCGCAAATTCCAATCTGAATTTTGGAAACAGGAAAGGGTCGCAAACGGTGAGGGATGTGTTGTGCTGTTTTGAAGTCAGAAATTCTTTTGCGCAGACGATTTTATTTAATGTTTCTTTATTTTTAGGTTATCAGTATTTGATCTAAATGTTTTAGGGGACTCGGGGAGAAACCAGTCTCTTTCTGCGACATTTTCGTGTACGCTGCGGAATATTAGCGCAGAAATTTTGATTCACAGTCTGTCTCTCCATGGGATGAAAAAGTATACACCGAACATCATAACAGAAGTCATTCCAGTTGTGCGCTGTTCTGTACAATTTACTGTCGCAGATTTTAAAATTACTTGTGACGAGTGTCTGCAGTTATACTTGTGATCTTCCTACTCACATTCACATTCCATAACCTTCAGCAAATACAGTGTTTTAATTTATCAGCGCTAATTTGAAACAGTTGTGTTTGAAGAAATGATATGTCGGAGAATTATTTCTGTTGACCTGTATTGCTGTACCTTTCCCTTCCACAGCTTCACTTCCTCATTATCCACGTGTTCCCACCGTTGGCGAGGCACACCCGTAAAGCATCCTGGCACAGGCTCATGTCTCGGCACGGAGGCGCTGCCACCGCGTACATGGTATCCAGATAAGAGCAGAATAGTTGCACCGCCCTGTCCACTTCGCCAGCTTCCATGGCCTCCATTCCCTCGGAGAATCTTCCCGTCATCTCCTTCACAACTTCCTCCTGTGAAGGCACGTGCTTCTTACATTTTGGGCATCTCT